CGGGAAGTCTACGGACAGTGCATAGGGACAGTGCAAAATCATGTGATCTTTCCGGTCCAGTGTCGGACAGTACTTAGGAACAGTGCAGAATTATGTGATCTTTCCGGACCACTGCCTGGGTTTATAGATCACATGATTATCGATGATGTAACGAACAAACTTCATTTTTAAATTACACACACGCACATACACATTTTTCTTTATAAAATCTTTATTTCATGTTCTCTATATGAGGTGCTGATAGAGTCGTCATTTGTGAGATAATTATTATTGCATTACTCTATTTTTTCTTGCCCGTCTAGACCGTTTCACTGGCTGAATTACTTGCAAAAAGAAATTGGGCTATACGATCTTGAATTAGTAATTTCCATTTTGTTGCTGCCAAGGTAGCAAATTGTATCCATCGATTAATAATTGGTGGTACAGGCGCACCAGATTTCAGCATTATGGCTACATAATGATTATTGTTAACAAAAGCCATTGCAAGAGCTTTATTTCGGTTCAATGGATGATGATGCGGAAGGAAGGTAAGATTTGTTTGTAGTGAGAAAAAGTGTAGTGGTCTTTGATAGGTGTTTGCTATAACATCTCCCATCAGTGGCATTCTCATCCAGTATTCGAACGTGCAAGGACCATCCACCCAAGAAATCTCTCTCATAATCGCCGCATAATCACCATTAACTAGAAATAACGATCGGTAGAATTGCTCCCTTTTATTTAATTCCTCCCGCAATTCTTTTTTCACCTCTGGCCATTCGCTTTCATTCCTCCCTAAACACACAGCCAGTACTCTGTACCCGCAATTGCCATCGCCATCCACATTTATTACCTCTTTTATATATTTATGCATATAAGTGGGTATTTGATCATGATATAAGAGTTGTGGTGATTTTTGCAGACTTTTCATGAGTTCGGGCATTGGTTTTTTTACATTTCTTTTTTTCATGGCGGCTTTATCTTGAAGTTCACTAAGAAGAGAATTTCGCTTGGTGGATGTTGGTCGTCCTTTAGGTGTGATACGCAATGGTGCCTTTGGAACTACATTTTTTTCAGCAGCCAAGGCTTCGATTTTTTGCAAGAACGTGACTTTTGATCCACAGTCATTCAGGGATTCGTATTTTTCTTCAAGCTTATATAAAGCCTTACTGATGGCTATGTCAGTTGATAATGATGATGAAGACAATGAGGGTACTGAATCATGCTTTAGAAGCCAGCGAGGATGTACAAGAGAAAGCGGAATGGGCCCTGTCGACGGAATTATGTGGCGGCATGGTAGCTTAAAATTCAATCTCAAGCTGCATTTACAGGTATCACTGTTTGCATTATCATTATCTTCAGTCTCGCATATTTCTCTTTTTATTTGATCGATTGCCCATCTGGAAATTTTTCCAAGCAGCTGTTCAAATCTCTCATTGTTGCGTATGAACGGATCAACAGAAACAATATTCAAACCAAAAGCTCCATTCATTTGTAATTGTTGCTGGCGAAAGGCACGATCGATGTGTGAGAACACCTGCTCTAAGCCGCTTGCTGCCTCTATTGCCTTCTTCAAACCGCTGTGGCTTCCCTCCACCCGCTGCGTTGACCGGATCCCCATATGCGGATAATTTTTTGTGTGAACATGCATCCAACCTTTTGCGTCTTTTTTCCATTCCTCAAGATAATTTTGAATATAATTAGGATCTCTACTTTTCATCGCTGCTTGTTTCACCTCATTGAACGCTTTTTCGACTGTACTCATTTCCTCAGCATAAGCAACTTGTTGAACCAATGACAAAAATTTATCATAATCTTTATCAGAATCAAAAAACTTTCGGCACGCAGTTCGTAAGTTTTGTGCAAGCATGTGCCAAATGCAGAGCATTTTTTTCGCTTCCGGAAAAACGCTGTTTGCCGCTTTTCGAAGGGCCTGATCTCTGTCTGAAACAAATACTTCTGGAGAGCAAAAGAAAGTGTCGTAAATTGTTTCTTTCAAGGTACGTAGAAACCATTCGTATGTGTATTCCTGTTCGTTTGCTACCCATGCCATTGCAATTTGATATGTATTAAGAACTTTGGCATTGCCAATGTTGCTAACACCAACAGCGTTGATGAGAGGAAGCTTGTATAAGTTTGTCTTGTACGTTGCATCCACCATAAGCACCTCTGAACATATAGCCGTTTGACGCGCAGCTTCAATGTGTGTAAAGAACAGGTTTTGCATATGGCCATCTTTTGATAATGTATGGCGAACTACATACTGGCGTTCCTCCAACATTTGCAGAAGCCGTACGGTGGTGTCGTGGTTGGAGCCTTCATTCAGAGCGTTTCTAATTCGGCCACGTTCATTGATGACGTCTTTTGTGTATACAGTACCGTGCTTCCAGTGTACTGCGTCAGCGATTGATTTGGTTGATGCCCCGCTTCTGAGCATCATGTGAACTAGCTCTTTTTGTTCTGTATTGAGAAGCCGATGTTGATGGAGACAGTGAACTTGTGATGGAAAAAGAAGTTCGTGGTTGTGCTGAGTTTTGAAAGATTGTACCACCCAAACGCCAGCATCCTCGTTCAAAACAGCCCGTAAAATGACAGGACAGTTTTGACGTTTCGTGAATTTTTTTCTTTTTCGAGTTTCTTCAGTAATCTCGTGATTATTTCTATATTCGCCTCCCATTGTGCACTGCAAGGTAACAAAAGGAGTGCGATTGACTTTGCCAACACGCGACATTTTTGATGATGATACACTAAAAGCGAAGCCAGCTGCCTTAGCACCTTGTTGTGCGGCTTCCTTGAAACTTTCGACCGTCGGGAATTCGCTGCCGATTGCTGGGATTTGTGGTTGTGACATGACTGCACTGGTACTGTTGATGGATTTAACTTTTTTTCTTGCAAAAATTGATCGCTTGATATGAACTAATTAAATTATTTTGTATTTTATAGTGTCACGTCGGTACCCGTTTTCCTATGTTTATAAGACAACACAATGTAATATAATTGATCTTTAAAGGGAATTGTATAGAAATTTTATTTGACAGCAAATAAAGACTTTTTATTGCACGCGGTATTTAGAACATCCTTTTCTAATTCTCTCGGTATATATATTTGTACATTTTATTAACGTAACAAGTTTCACTCTAATTATTTTAATTAGAAATCAACCATACAAAAACATTAAGTTTCTCTTTAATTATTTTAATTAAAGAAATCAATCATACAGAAACATTTAGTCACAAAGAACATTCAAGTGTGCAGAAACGCTTGATCCTTCCCAATTGTTCTAATTTTAAATGCCATTATTATTTTAATTATCACTGCAAAACCGATCATCACGACATGTGAATGGATATC